GTTTCAGGTTATGATGGAGATTAAGCTAAAATTAGGTTAAGACCTTTGAAATTTAAGAAAAACTTCCTTTAATATGTGTTGAAACGTGGGCAATGGAAAGGATCTAACAAACGCTGAAAAACAGAAAATAGTTATCGACTGAGGAAATCTTCACACTGGAAATATCAATTTTTCATGTTTTCGTACAAGTGCTTTCTTTTGTGGATATAAAGAGGGCAAAAACTGTTCTAATGCTCTATATATCGGAGTGCCTTCGGTTATTCTATTTACAATTATCAAGACTTTAAAAAATTTTAAACTGGAAATGTATTTTGTTTAATGCTTGTGTGTCTATAGATAATAAAAATATATTAGTAAATTTTATTGGTGTAATTATGGAAGATGATGTCATGTATATTTCCTCTGGTTGCTATGTCACAAGCGTACGTTTTCTTTCAATTTCAACGTGACTTTTGGGACACCATATATATATATATATATATATATATATATATATATATATATGTATGTGTGTGTGTGTGTGTGTGTGTGTTTGTTGTAACCAAGTAAATGCTTAAGTAATAAAAAAAAAAACCAGGTTTGCAGATATATTTTATATTAAACAGTAAGTACACTAGTAGAGTATTACAGTACTCGTGAGAGTGTATCGAATGAACTAGCGCTCAATCTATTCACTGTTAATATTTAACAGCCCCCCCCCACCACCACGAGGGGATGTATGTGGCACAAGGCCGAGTTTACCGTGGGTTCTCCGAGACTGTAGGCTCGGTCAAAAATATTCCCTTAGAACCCGCATAAACGGGTTCAGGGCCTGTCTACCTCCCCGGACGAAACTTTGCCCTTCGGCAAAGCCTCGTCCGGGCTCCTCTCTGCTCAAGGCAGAGAGTTCGATAATTGAACAATCTGGTCGACCATTCCTCGAATCCTTCTGTCCTAATAATCTTATAGCAGGCGGAAGAGTCTAACAGACTCTTTAGAGGGAGGACACGAAAATAATATATAGAAGTTGTAGCCGCTGTCTGTCTGATTTTTGTTATCGAACTACTCCTAAGGGTTTGGAGATAGACCCCCCCCCTACCACCACCATATATATTCTGAAACTACATTATGCAGGGTACTTGAATTAGTATATTTCATTTTGATCAAAGGGGGTCGCCGGAGAGAGGGGGCAACCCCCACTGAATCTTTTTTCCCTTTGAATAAAGTTAAATTTACATTTAAATAAGGGAATGACTCCTATCCAAAGTATTGGTGAAAGTCAGAAGATGAAAATCACAACGGCAAGATCAAAATGAGACAATATGGTCGTCATGTTAGGCAAGAAATCACCAATCAGTAGGTAGTGCCTAACAATACGTATTTGTTGCGACAATTCAACTGTCATATCAATGTTGAAATCTGCCCATCAATTCATTCAATCAAGTACTGCATCAAATTCATATCAAAGGCGTCAGATCAAACTGTCTTTGCGCCCCACCCACCGCACTGAAATCTTTTTTCACTTTGTTTTAAATCCAATATAAATTTGAACAAGAGGATGATTCCTATCAAAGATACAGAAATAGAAAACCAAAAGTTGGAGGTCACATCGGCAAGATCATTGAGTAATATTGAAATGTATCATCATACTTATTATAAAACCCAGGTTGTGTGTGTGTGTGTGTGTGTGTATGTGTGTGTCTGTTGGTTTATATATTAGATCGGATTTCCAACATTTTTCAACCGATTTCCAGAAAATTTCACAGGACTACGTAAAATTACCTTGCGGTGGTTCTGACAGTGCCAAAAATTGGAAAAAATACGATTGTTTTTGCGCGAAATCAATTTGAAAACACGATTAAGAGGCATCGCTGACGCGAGAATGAAAGGGCGACAACTCATATCGAGTTATACTTATTATAAAACCCAGGTTGTTTGTGTGTGTGTGTGTGTTCGTTTATATATAGGATCGAATTTCCCACATTTTTCAACCGATTTCAATAAAACTTCACTTTATTTTTGGCAGGTAGTGTTTCTTATTGTCTTGCACACTTTTTTTTCTTTATTTTTACATTCAGAATGCTTTAAAAATTCCATTTACAAGACAATTGTTTATAATAAAATTCTATTCAATCGGTAGACTCATAACGATTGAAAACAATGTTTTTGTTTGACCAATTCGTAAAAAAAAAAAAAACAACAAAAAAAAAACAAAACAAAAAACTAATTAAGACATGCGTGTCCGTCAACCTTAAACAATAATATTTGTCAATTTTATTTTTCAGTCTTTATGATGGTCGATACTTGATCTATCTCTTACTGTTACATCCCCGGGCAACGCCGGGCTCTTCTGCTAGTTTTTTCTATAAAAATTATAACAATGATTTAAAATCAATTATTTTCTTACAAAACAAAATGTGTGACACTCAGCAAGGCGCGGGTAATTCGGCTAGTATAATATATATATATATATATATATATATATATATATATATACACACACTTCTACTATCACTACAAAATTAACCTATTCAAGTCTAGAGGAAACCTTTATCCTACATATCCTCATACTATGCACTTCTTACATCATCCCTTTACACACAACAACTTCATTTAGTAATTCTCTACCTTCAGGCACTTTCGAGCCTTTTATTGGATTAAGAATATATATATATATATAACTCCAAAGAAACGCGATACTTAATGTTTACAATAAATTTTTAAAAAATGAAAAATCTTGTTGAATGTTTTCTTTTAGTTTTGATTTCAAGCTAATAGATTACATTTAATATTTCCAAAAAGCGAAATACTTTGCTGTATTTCAAAACTAATTTAAATTGACCGGAAATATTTTTTTAATTGCTAAATATCGCTGATTTTAGCGCCATTGTTAACCATGTGTCAGTACAATGTAATCCTCTTTATTTAAAAAAAAAAAAAAAAATCTTTGAAAATTAACATACTTTACTGAAATTTTATTTGAGGTATATAAGTAGTTCTAAAGTTTAATTAATATGGTTTGAAATGCCTATTACTTACTTTTGACATGGGGGTAAATTGTTATTTATAGTTTTGACAGCTTGACTGACATCCGAAAGTTTATTTAATTTTGTACGGGGGACATATCTATAAAATTACTTTAGAAAGATAACATGAGCACCGTTTTCTTTATATAAGTTTTAATTTCCCAGTAATCTTTAAAATTAAGGAAAATATTCTCTGTAATCTAATGTTTCATTGAATTTTATGTACTTTAACTTTAAATTTAGTAGAGTTATCGCTCTTAATTTCTGACAATGCCTTGTACGGACGCCCGTATTTACAAAAGTTGGCACGTTCATGCACACATTGTCACACACAAAATTCTCTATAAAATATTAAGGGTCACTGAATTGTAGTAAGCGTTTCCATTTACGATTGGTAAATATTTTTTTACTTGATAAAAATATCACGTAACCGGTACAAATTAATAAAGAAAAAGATTTAAAACTTTATAAATTAAAAAAAAAAAAAAAAAAAAAAAAAAAAATTAATTCTTGTAAACATTTATAATTCATCGACAATAGTGTCCATAAATTATCATATTCATAAATGCAATTAAAAGCTTTTCTAATTAAATAATGTCTTAGTTTTGTTGCATTTTTCATTTTATCATTCAGTGCAGATTTGTAACTGGGGGTCCTGTTTTATGAAAGACAAAAAATTGATAATTTAAATTCTCCAAATATTTCTGTATGTAACTAATATAAACATTAATCGGATCAAAAATTAATTTCTCGAAATTTCATTAAAAAATTTAAATAAGTGGTGGGTGACAGATGTAAAAAATGTTTATACCAAGATTTTCTTTAAAAAAAAAAAAAAATTCTAAAATAATTTAATTCATTTGTAAATAAGTCCTGAAAGTTTCATTAAAATCAGACAATTATTTGATTTTAGCAAGAATTTCCAAATCAGTGAGGTTTCCACCGCAAAAAAAGACGCTAAAATTACTATACTAATGTTACCACCCACGTTAGCGCAAGAAAAAATAATTAACCAAAATTTCAAAGCTTTCAAAAAGGATAAAAAAATAATTAAAAAAAAATCTTTTGTCTTTTCTCTTAATAAATCACAAAATTTGTTTTTATTAAGTTTGGGGCATTTTTTTCATCCAGCATGCTCAATTTTTAATTAATCTACCGTTACCTTTTGCTAGAAAGGCCACACAAACTTAATTATATTTAAATATTGCTTAACTGCCTAGTTTTCATGCTATGAATGCGTTGAGCCCACGAGAGCCACACTGCCACTCCAGCTCTCACGGTCTTGGCAGAGTGTCGGAACATCAGCCAGCGCCAGATTGATCTGCTGGACGTCTTGGCGGACGATGGTCTTCAAGCGTCTGCGTGATTTGTCGCGAGGTTGTCACCAATCTGCAAATGATTCGTCGTTCTGTTAGATGATTCTGGTGTGACTGGTCATCAGGTCGTTGTAGGACTTGACCGACCCAACGAACACGGCGCTGAGCGATAGAGCTGAGGAGACTTGGCTGTCCGGTCTTCTGGTAGAACCTCCTGTTACATACAAAATCGGACCAGTTCACTCACTTGATGGTCCTGATGATTGATTTGTTTTCTACGGATTGTCATCCATTTGCAGGTTATTTAAAGCCAGAAAATATTTCTGTAAGAAATTTTATGTTTTGGAGATAACAATAATCTAGTCATAAAATATTGATTAACCCATAGCTGGGAGAGAAGAGGTAGATTCATACTTTTCCCCTAAGTGTATTTGCGCGTAAGTGAATATAATATATGATATATATATATATATTTCTGTAAGAAATTTTATTTTTTGGAGATAATGATTTAGTCATAAAATATTGATTAACCCATAGCTGGGGGAGAAGAGGTGGATTCATACTTTTTCCTTAAGTGTGTTTGCGCGTAAGTGAATATAATAAATTCTACGGGAATTGAAACTGCTTTCCGATTAACAATTCTGAGACATTATCCATTACACCACCCGCACATCCAAGTTTACAGTACCTGGTATTTCCAAAGCGATCACCCATCTAGGTCCTGGCCAGGCTTGACGTTACTTAACTTCCGTGATCGTACGAGAATCGGAGTTTCAATGTGATATGGCCGTAAGCCGCTCGATGGTTCAGAGGGCGTGGACTCAAAGTCATCGACGCGGGAGGCAAGGGTTTTTTCCGAGATGTCACATCTCAGAAAGCACTACGTGGACAGTAGTGTCGTAGATTGGTAATTATTTAAATATTTATTAAAAATCTAATCAGCTTCATTTTCAGGACGGTAGCCTAAGGTCCCCCTTGCCTTAGATATGTCATGTGAGTGTTAATTTTCAAAGCTCTCTTTCCTCATTTTGTGTCACAGAAATTTTTTTTCTGAAGTCTCTTTCCGATTCTAAGTATGTGTACTTTTTTTTGTTTCCATTTTTCTTAAGAACCGCCCCCCTTGCCGACGCGCCCCGTTGCTACACTAACGACAGTCAAGATTTGTTTCTTTGCTCTAACTCTATGGCAGATACCCACTCTTAACTTCCTGTAAGGAAGTTGCTGCCACGGTCCCAGAAGGGTTATGAAGCGGCAAGAAGAATTCCTTATGTTTTAAAAGAAAGTTATCAACCTCACGATATTATTAGTTGTTTGGATTATCTGCCTGACCAATGTACTCAGGTCGAAGAAAGGGAATGACGTGATACAAAAAAAAAAAAAAAAAAAAAAAAATAATAATAAATAGTTAATCTACTGTATATACTTGTGTATAAACAGACTTCATATATAGTACGACCCCTGATTTTTTTGTGAAAAAAACTGATTTTTTTCGTATAGCTCTTGTATAATACAACCCCTACTTCTGAGCAATACTAGCAGGCTTACCGTAGTTAAGTATTGCAGTAGTGGGCAACAACCTTGATATATTTTATAGCACATAAATAGTCTGCATTCTTTTGTGCCCAAAGCTACCCAAAAAATAGTGAGAAAAACATTTACAGTAAAATATCTGATACAAAGATTTAGATACCAGAAGAAAAACTAACAGTTGGAAGATGAAGTGCAGATTCAAGGAGCTTACCTGTACCGTTAAGGTTAGCTAAAGATACTGTGAGAATCTCGGCGTACTAGGTAGATTATGGTCAACGAAAATGCATGAATTTTAACCCCTACAGAAAAAAAATTATCTGTGTATATTGTGTTACCGTAATTTTTGCATAAAATATTGAACCTAAAATCTCGCTCTATACTCTAGTATATACGATAATGTTTGCACATTTGAAAAAGAAAAAAAAAGATTTTTAAAAAAGGAGAAAATATAAATCCTTCAGATGAGTGTAACGCTAATGAAAAGCTTTAAATCACTATTCATTTTTTCCAGCTTAGAAATAAGAATACCGAACAGAATAAATGAAACACCTTGTACAGCCGGTGTTTTCAACAAGTTTAAGAATTCGAAAAGTTCCTCAAAGATGTCATTGAATCCAAACCGAAATACTTCCATGAATGGAATAGAGTATTTTGCAGAAGGTTATGGAAAGCTTATAAAAGTCATGGGTATTTTTTAATCAATTCGCCCCAAACAATGCGATAATGCTACTAAGACGCAATAGGTTACTGGGAGTGAAAGGGAATGAAAAGACTTTAGAAGGAAACAGAAACAAGGGATCAACCTCGACTCCTGTTCAAAAAACCGGGAAGGGGTTTGAACCGGACGATAGGTGAACCTATCTACTATTAAATACTTAAATGGCTGAATAATGATGTTATGGATTTTTATGACTAAGATTCTGACAAGAAATAAATGAAGGAAACTTTTTTTTTTTTTTTTTTTTACAGTAACGTTCACCTTGTACAAGGCCTGGGGGCCACTCGAGGTAGAGAGTTACGTTAACGGCTAGTTTATATGGATAGGAGAGGGTAGAAAACTTAACTTTAGATTTGAACAGGTTAAGATTATAGTGATCAGGGAAACCTTCTCTTGCAATCTAAATATGATGGAATACAAAATTTAGCTAAAAGATGACATAAAAAACAGCTACAATTTTTTTCATGATTGAATAAAGATGTTATGAATTTATATAGATAAAAATGTTAAAAATGGGGGAAAATGTTTTGCATCAACCTCATATTATAATTAGATGGAATACTCAGTTTATTATAATCTCGATCCCAGAGTTTTGAGTATAAATTCAAACTAATTTAAGTTATACGTTGAATCCAATGTCTCCTTCGAAGCAATTCTCTTGCCACACAATACACATATTTAATGATTGTTTTAAGAGTTCATGCAGACAACCATGCAACTTTCGGAAATGTTTGTTAGTATTCAACCCTTTGAACATGGATAAGTCAATATGTAGACAAACATTGGCAATATCTAAAGCAGCGTTACTCAACCAGTGCTCCCATTGAACATAAACTTTTTGTCAACGCCCCCCTGTCAAATTAAATCTCGAATATTATACAGAATTCATCTTCCATTGAAAGATAACACTTAGATATTATTGCAAAAGAGAAATGCCAATGATTAAAATCCCAAAGAAAACATTTTACTTGATAGATTATCTCACTGTTTTCAATGCGATGGTTGTCTTTGGTGCTAATTGGTTAAGGTTCTTAATCTAGGTTCCATGCTTCTTGGAATTAATGGTAAATCACCTTGTTTTGTAATTTGCAGGCGGTTTTTTTTTGTTTAGTGAGAAGCTCTGTAACTGCGTTGAAACCACATTCAGCCATATAGGAAGTTGAAAAAGCATTAAAAAAAAAGTGATAGATTTCCACAGCACTTTCAGAAATTTCCTTTTGTAGCCAATAATTTTTGAAAATCTGACCCCCCCCCAAAAAAACGGATACATGCTCTCCGCCACCTGAGTATGTTCACCGCCCCCACATGAAATTAAAAAAAAACTCCCAGTGCCCCCTTTCGACATAAGAGCGCCCACAAGGGGGCACTATCGCCCACTTTGGGGAAACATTGATCTAAAAGGAAGCCATGAACGGACAGCAAACTTTTCGGTAAGATACATTCTGCCTGTCCCCCAGAAATTTATTCACTCAGTATAGGAGGAAACAAACTTTCTTAGCGCGAAATTTGTTCAAGCCACAAGAAAGGCGAGTTAAAGGTTTGCAGCCCTGAATATACTGTTAATAGCGTGCTTCCTGTAATGAAGAACAGATGCAGTCATGCACTTTACTCGTAAGTATTTCTTCCCACCTGTACAGGGCCCTTCAATTACACGAGTGGTCGGGTCGGTAGCATACACGAAAGGGCGCTTTATATCCATAAACAGGAAGTTGGAACATTTTGGAAGCATTACGTATACATATGATGATGTACCACATGTAATGTCGGATTTTGACAGGGAGTAGTAAAGTAGGCACACCCTTACCCCTAATAGTCATCAGGCAGTGTTGATTACTATGTCCATTTAACCCTTTACCGGCTCAAACTATGCTCATTAGAATGTCTATGCTGCTGTTAGCATCTATCACAGTTTCATCACATCTAGCTATCTCAATCCATCCCATTTCCATCACTGTATCTATCTCTGTATATATCTATCTCTCTATATTCCTATCTATCAATCTATCTATATATTCCTATCTATATATATTCATATCTGTCTATGCATATTCATATCTATCAATCTATCTTCATATCTATCCATCTATATATTTATCTACCTATCTATTTATGTCTTTTCATATCAGTACGTAGACAGACAGACGCAACTGTTAGTATCGATATATATATATATGTTTCTTCATATCTATCTAAAATCAAATTGTCCCATGACCAAATAGATCAACGAAAAATTTCGCTGGTATCTTCAGAGTGTTTCTTGAATCCATGTCCTAATTCAGATGTACTCATCTCTTTTCCGTTGCCTATATTACGTCTTTTCTCTTAGTAATGCTCTCATTAATTTCTGATTAATAATAATCTCCATTAGAATATGAAACATTCATTCTACCCAAAATATTTAACATGCTTATATATATATATATATATATATATATATATATATATAAGTGCGCAGGTATGCAGAAAATAGAAAAGAACACGTTGGGTTCTTTAGTATTTTGGTTTTATTTTTAAGACGACAGTGCTCCATACAGAAGTAGAGCTTTATTATAATAATAATATTTTTTGATTAAAAATATGATTCCTTCGCTTATCTTTTCTATGTCGGGTCTAGTAGGGTTTATCATATTGGTAATCAAATATATATATATATATATATATATATATATATATAAACTGTTTTACGAGTGGCGGTAGACTAGTCCTAAATTTAAAATGGTATTTCGATCAGAAACCTTGCCTACATCTTTTCCTTCATATGTTTTCCGTTCTGAAGGTGAAGGATCGTAGCTCTCCATAACTTCCTGTCTCTTGTTGCTTCCCTATTTGTCACGCTTCTTTGCCCCTTTTCTGCTATCAATATTTTTATTATATTATTTAAATTTCCTGTTTCTCTGGCTTTCAATGTGTCTTATGCGTGTTAAGTTATGTAGGCCTTATTTTCCCCGTTGAATGTCCCAGAAGTTTCAGTGGTCTCTTGCTAAAGCTTCCTTGTTACTCACATGTTGTGTCCATGGTGTTCTGATCATTCTTCGGTACAACTATATATTTTGTTTTGCCTGCAGATCTTGTCCGTTGCATCCTTAGTCCGTTGATGGGGGAGTGCCTTTAGAGTTTATATATATATATATATATATATATATATATATATATATATTTATATAAGTTCAGAGCAGATAACATTAGAAAGATTTTAGAGTCCCATGAAAATAAGTGGATACAACGTCTAAAAACAATATCCAGCCGGGCTAAACCATAAATTTAACAATATAGATAATACTAATATATAACTCAACAATTCAAAACCTACCCACATTTCTCGCCCACCCAAGACAGACATGCTTACGGAGGTGTGGAGGCCTCACACTTATACACACACACACACACGAATATACACACTTACACACATCATACTCGCTCAATCCCTAATGAGCCAAATGATAACACACACCCACAGCAATACACACGCTTACACATATCATACTCACTCACTCACTCACTCACTCTCTAAGAACCAAATAACACACACACACACACACAAACAC